TGTTTGTTCTTAATTCAGTAAAATGCTAGAAATTCAAAATGTGGATTAAATTTTATGAGATGTATTGAATTAGCCAAGGAAAACCCTTGCAAATGGATTCTCCCACTACACTCGCACAGTTTGCAGTTATGTATTGTATGTTGCAAATAACAGAGAAGAGATAAAAAAAGAAAACATTTTTTCAGGTGTTTCAAACATGGCTATAACAAGGAAATAACTTAGGTTGTAAGCTGTTTTTCAGACACCTTCTGTTCTCATTTTGAAGGAGTTAAAAGTGCTTATTTCTGGAGGCAGAGTAGCTATTTTTCATGCATTGCTTTGTTAGACATAATTAACCTCGTAGAGAAGTAGGGTATTACCTGGGCCATCTCTCTAGAAGTTGTGAACGTGCCTTTGCTGAAACAGACGATTCATTGTGATAATGTCAGGAAACCAAACAATGTAATAAAATGACTGTATACACTGAATAGTTTCCATCTGTCCATACCTTCCGTATTTGTGTTCTGTAGTGTGTTATTCCCTGAATTTTACTGTAAAATAAACAGGAATACATGTAATCTTTTTGGTCTCCTTATTTTCCATATTTCCTTTTGCTGCACTTTATAGTGTTTTTATTGAGTATTTTTAGTAAAGGTAGATAAATAGCAATCATATCTGTAGTATTTGGAAGAATACAGAAAGCTTCCTCAACACATCTCTCAAAAAATAGGTTAGGAAAAATATTTGTTATGGAACTAGAAATCAGTTCTGGAGGATTTACAACTTTTTTTAGATTAAAAGAACAGTTGAAACAAGAAGTTCTTAACATGTCAATAATAGCATTTTAAGGCAAACTTGTAGAATTATGTTTCCCCACTAGTCTATTGCAAGTGGTTCGTTGATAACTGTGGCATTATTAAATTTAACTATTATTCTGGTATTATTTCTAAAAAGGGTGAGAGTCTGGTAGATAACAGCTGATGGATTTTTTTCAGCAGTTGGGTTTCTTAATGAGCAAAACCTGAAACTCTTTCAGATTTGGTTTTAGCATGTAGTAAGAATTACAGAATAGCTGGCCTTAGAAAACAAGCTTGGATGGATGTATCATGAATTGATTCTGTTTAAAATAGATGTTCAGCTTAAGTATGTAAGTTTCTTAATTTCAAAGGGACACTAGATGCAAAATACACTGTACCAGCTACTAAGAAGAAAATTAACTCTGTCCAAGCCAAAACCAGGACATGTGCTTTGACTTTCTTTCAGTTGAAAGTGCAGAATAGTCTGAAACCTAACCATTGTAGCAAGATCATTAGGAAAATAAAGCAACCTTAGGGAATGGAGGAAAGGTATAGCTTAGATGTTTTAGATATAAAATAAAAATTTCCCCCAAAAGAACCTGCATTATATCTTGAAAATAGGTCTGAAAAGATGCTAAGACAAATGTCAAAAGGTTCTTTAACCCTGTAAATAGAAAGATTAAAGGAAGAGAAGCAAGCCCAGGGGAAAGATTGCGGACAAAATTATATTTTACTCTCTCCACCAGGTAAATGGAAATAAATTCCCATCTTCAGTAAAGACAATTTCAGAGAAGGCAGGATAGCTAATGAGAATGGGGGTGTATACAGACAGAAATTACTTTGACCAAGGAGGAGGCAGAATTTGAGAGGAGATTGTGAAGTAGAAGGTAAGAGATAACTTCTACCCTAGAATTCCTGTCAGGTATCTGTCTTGTTGGGTGATAGTTTTGGAATGCAAACAAAGAAATCTGTTTGGTTTTTTCTATTTAAAGAGGCAAAAAGCTATAGGTTTATTAGCCTAACATCAGTGGTATTCCAGTTTTTTGAATAAATTCTTAAAGAAGAAGTAGGTAAAGCTTGAAGATGGAAATAGGATGGAATGCAAGATGGGGTTACAGAAGATAGTGGATATATTGAACCATAACCAGTTATTTGGCAAAATAACTGATTTGTTGGAGAAAGAGAATTCAGTGCTTTTCATCCATTTAAAGTTTAGTAAAACTTTTTTTATTAATAGCACACACGAAAACAAAACTGAGTGATAATACCACAAAAATTTACCCTTGGACAAATCTGATGTTTTAACTAGTAATTGTAGTACAGGAAGTAGGAGAGGGTTAATTAAATTTGCTGATGGCAAAATATCTGGAGGCTTTTTCAATACAGCAGAAGATAAGAAATTCCTATGGAGAGAACCAGAGAACCTTGAGGACTGGCATAACAGAAACAGGATGAAATTTAGTGGTGCAAAGTATAAGGTCATGTACTTGGGGAGTAAGGATAAGATAATTCTGTTTCAGAGGCTCGTGGCTCATTAGTTGGAAATGACTGAGGAAGAGAAATAAATGGGTGTTTTAGTTGATCGTAGGATTACTGTGAACTGCTAATGGGCATGAATGAAATAAAGACAGTTTTGGGTTCTGTCTGGGTATTACTCTCAGCTGAAATTGGTATTATACAAGGATGGTATTATGCAACAAGGATGTTGAGGATCTGTTGTGCTGTATGTTTAATTTCAGTTACTCCCACTCAAAAAAAGGGGGAGGGGGGGATTAAAAAAATGTTAGAATTGTTGTGATGATTGGGAAAACCAGATTGGGAAAAGCCTATCTTGTGAGAAAAGACCAGAAGAATTCATCTTGTTTAGCCTAGAAAAAAAACCCAAAGCCTGAAAGGAAATATGATTTATTACTGTTAATACATTGGGGGAAAAAGGTTTGAAATGCCAGGGTACGAAAAAGCTATTTAAACTAAACTAAAATGTTGGCACTGGAATTAAAAGTTATAAACTCAACTTCAATAAACTTGCATTAGAACCAGAGGAGAAGTGAGATGCTCAAATGGCTTTCCAAAAGAAAGAATAGTATCCTGAAGCCAATTAGTTTTCAGGTAACACTATATAATTTAGTAAAAGGTATTGTATGATGTTTGATACCTGTGATAATGAGATACTGAACTTAATGACCCAGAAGGTCCCTTGCCCTCTTTATTTCATACATTATTATTATTCATTTTGTGTTATCCATGACTGTGGTGAAAAATAGGTATTTAGAGTTAATGCCTTTGTTGATCTATCTTTCTATTTATCTATCTCTCTCTCTGTGCCAGATTTTGCAAGGCTGCTTGGAGAGCAGAGATTCCATAAGAATGCATTTTCCCTTGTAAAACAGGACCCTCATCTTTACATTATCTGTGTGAGAAGTATATTTACTTTTGCCCTAGATAAAGGGTCCTAAAAGCCTGGGATCTCATTTTGAGAAAGTGTGATCCTCAAAATCCCTCAGATTTTATTCTTTCAAAATCTGGCTCCCAAGTTCTGTTTTCATGTGAAGGTTAGCTAGGAATTTCTCCTCCTTTTATGTCCTTCCCAAAACAAATCAGAGAAATACTTTACCTTCACAGCAGAAGAAACAGGAGGAAGAAAATATAGGAAGTTTATCAAGAATTAGGCTAAGAATTCACATTGCTAGCTAGCATTTTCCCCTTGTTGTTTGGAGTCTTGCTTCATCACTGAGACCCCAATGTACCATGGGGGATGCCTGTCTTAGGATAAGCTTTCAAAAGAAAATGAGGAAATAATTTGGTTTAGTTAGAGAAAGAGGGCTGAGAATTTGTGGGTGAGATTATGTATGTGGTCACACTTTGTATGAGTGAGAAAGAGGGCAGGAGCGTTTGGTGCGGTTGGACTGTGAAGAGGAACACGTAGAGAAAGTCTGGGATAAGCAGACAGTCATTAGTATGGACTGAGATTGTCCCCTGCTAAAACTTGCTTAATGGTGGTACACATTGCATTTTTTTCCCCCCAGAGGCTGAACAGGGATCTTTTGTACTTCCATGGATCAGACCTGATATCACTACTCAGGAGTGTTATTATTAGTAATGCTAAACAGTGCCTGTGTGCTTCAGGTAGTTTGTGTCCACTTTGTAATGAACATGAGGCATTTAGGAATTGTGATGGGATGAGACCAACAAATGATTAAATCCCCTTGGTTGCTTTTGGTTTTTTTTCCCCTGGGATTGGAAATGTGGGTTGTCATAGCCATTTATAGTGTATCAGTCTAAAAGCTACATTCTTATCCGATAAAAAGAACCAGGAAGTGACTAGTAAGTCAGGGAACAGGGGATGAGAGGTCCTATCCTGAACACAAAGCAGAGCAAGAGAGTGGAGAGAGCACTGCTCTGAGCAGCCTCAGAGGGTGAAAACTTGGTCCCTGTTATTGCAACTTAGCTTTAGAGCTGAGCTCTGATGTATTAAAGAGGGAGGACGCTGCAAGGTTAGTCATTTATTTCACCTTTGTAGCCGAGCTTTGCCTTGAAGCAGAGAAACACTGGTGGTTAAAAACGCTTTTTTTAATGAAACACAATTTTAGATTATCCATGGCTTTAGATGTTTACCTTTTTCTTAGTAATTGTTTCCAACTTTGTTACCAAGATCATAATGTTTTGCTTTCCTAGGTGAAATTTGTTTTCATTTTTAAGTTATCTGGTGTTAAAAATCAACAGAACTGACAGACAGGCTTCTCCAGAGAAGATGTATGCTAGGAAAGCAGCATGTAAAGCTGCCAAGCAGCAGGGATCTACAACCTGAGGGAAGGCTGGGATTTTCTGGAGTTGTGCATGAGTCCTGCCAACTGGAGGGATCCATGTGCAACTGGTATCAGCTGCTGACTAGTAGGAAAATGTCCTGGCAGGCAAGGTACAGGTGGAGTAAATCAGAGCTCTGGGCAATGCCCCAGATCGTTACACGCTTCTGCACACTTCCCACTTCAGAAAAGCACTTTTTACCCTACCTTTACAAATGACTGGTATTCAGGAACCATGTTATGAGTTGAAGCATATGTGCTATTAAACAGTCCATATTACTTACCTTCTAGTGGCTGAAAGTGCAGTCATTTGGAAAAAGAACAAATGTTTGTGAAAGTGCCATTTTACATATCTGTGTGGAAAGTTTGCTGTAGTGAAATTGATGAGTTTTGAATATTAACATTTTTCTTGACTTCCCAGGCCCTTGTTCTCCGCCCCACTCATCTTTGTGGACTTGGTTCAAGCTTATTATTTTACTTTCATGTTGGAAAAATGAGCCAATATATAGTAAAGAGTTTGAGGTGAATACTTTTTTGATGATGATAACATGAAGACTGTGTAGAAGTCATCTACAAAGGTGTTGAATTTTAATTTCCTTTTTCCTAAACCAGACGACCATTCTGCTTTTTTTCAGAAATATTATCTTCACTTCTGTTTCATTTTTTGTACGCAACTACTCAGCAGCCTTTATCTCCATGTTAGAACTAAGGCCAGTAGTTTCGGGTTTGTGTAGGCACTCATCTCTTGGCCCATATTGGTGTTCTTCCCCTAAAGTGCTTCGAAGCCTCAGGAGGATCCCGGGAGACAGAGCTGTAGTGCATATAAAGTTTGTATATATTCCATACAGGCTTGTGGAAGCCTACCCTTTGGTCAGGTGTGCCTGTTAAAGCGTGTCCATGCAGTCACAAGCAGGGAAGAAGATAGACCATCTGTATAGTCAGTGACTTAGCAGAGGTTTGTACTGAAAAAAAAAAAATAATAAAGCTAACCTTGATTATAGAGTTATAATTTTGTATGAGAAAATCTAATATTAATGTGCTCTTTTTAGGTTAATTTTATCTGAGTGACTCAGTTCCCAATTGTGATTGGCAATCAATAGCAATAATATGAGCACTAAGTCATGTTTCTTCATGAAAATGACAACCTTGAGAGCAGACTGTATAATTGTTTGCTTTTCTGCACAGATAGAGACATGATTGCTCTGCTTTTTTCTAAAGAATGAGTTCATGGAGGCTGAGGAAATTAATGTGTGAAGTACCAGAGACAAAGACTTATCTAAGAACAGGGAAATGTAAATACAAAACAGAATGGCCATTTAAAAAGTCACACTAAACATTTGCAGCAGTAGCTAATGACAGGTATTTTATAAATACCCTTCAAAAATTTGAAAAGAGTGGAGCTTCTACATTGGATCTCCTAGAGGCTTGTAGGGACATACATACATGCTTGGTCTTTCAGGAGGAGAAACAAAGAGGTTAGAGTTTATGCAAGTGATATAACTTATGTAGCTGCTATTTCTCAACAGTCTAACCTTAAAATGAAGATAAAATCTCTATTTTTTTTAATTTTTTTTAATTTCCCAACATGGCATATGGTTTTTCCTGTTTTCTTGAGTCTTATCTCTGTAACAAGTAATTAAATACCACTATTTTCTATTTTTAGTTAGCAAAGTTGTGTGTCTTTTGGCTCAGTTATATGTATGTTACTTAATATCTGCAATATCAACAGTTACTTCAATATCAGTGTGATTCAGAGATAAGCCAGAAAAAGTTAATTATTTTGAGAGCACCTTGTATCAAAGGGATGAAAGCTACAGAAATCCTGTTGGAAGTTAGATTGTTTCTCACTATGAAATTTCAAGACTGTCAGGAAGAGGAGTGGGGCAAGGAGACTTAATGGTTTTGAGCTGGAACTAGCATCTCTAAGAGAATACATGGTGTATGATTGCTGTGCAAGACTGGTACTAGGCTTGATGCTGCATCCTGTTCCTTGTTCGTGATCACCCAGCTCTCATTTCAAGTATTTCAGTTAATATTTGGGCAGGAGTTTTATCTGACATTTATGCATTTTGGAAAACCTGGACCTCAGTAAAGCCCAACATGTGATCTGCCAGGCTAACATGATTCAGGCATTCTGCATTTATTTGTACGATTTTTCCTTTTTATTCCAAATCAAATGGAATTGTGTAAAACTATCACGTATCAGGAAGGTTGCTCATGTACAATCACCATGAACCATGGCAAAATGAAACAAAGCAAATACACTGTAGCTGGTCAGTCTGTTTTGGAAAGCTGATACCAGCCCTATTTTACACACATCATCCTTCATAATTTTAAGGAAATGTATGTATGTTTAGTTATTGTTACAAAAATCATGTTTCTTTTTTCTTACCCATTTTCATCTTTCCTCCAGAGATTACATTAAGAATTGAGACTTTCTACTACTGTTTTATATTAAAAAAATAAAGATTCGTTACCATGAGGAAAAAACTATATGACTGAAGAGCTAACAGGAATGCTAACAGAGGAAAACACGGGAAGAGACTTTTAAATCAGAATATGTTAAACTATGTTTTAAGTATGCTTTCAGCACCTACTTCTGTGATTAATCCTTATTTGAATAGAAGACAAATTTGTGAAAGAGTTAACCCTCTCAGTGTTTATACTTATAAGTTAAAGGTACAAAAACATCTTGTACCTACTGGTGCTTCTCTGGCATCAAGTTCTGTGCCTGGGTTTACACTGGAAGTTACTAGCATATTACTAGTTTTACAGGCACAGTCATATGGTTTTCCTTGGTTATATCTAATAATAGTCTTGCACCAGCTGAAGAAATTCACAATCTTGGTGTTACGAGGTTCAAGTATTACTGCCTTTTGTTCTTCAAGGTTGCTGAAAGCTGATGTAGGGGAATCCAGCTTTCAAAAGCACCTTGTCTAATAGTTCCCAGAACAATTTGGCAGTATTTTTGATCTTAAACTTAGGTATTTAGTACAGAGTTATTATTTTTCTTTAAGTTATTTGTTTCAAAGCACAATTTTGACATTGGCTAAAGCTGTGAAGGTCCCAGGATGTGTTATAATGTCATCTGAGACATGCTTATGTTGATATTGTCCTGTGATTAAAGGTGGCACCAACCTTTGATAAACCATTAAGTATGGTTTGTACTGATTTTAATTTTAAAATTAAACAGTTACAAAAGGACTTTCTAAACAATGTTGATATTTTACCACTAAATGATTATAGCTTGATAATATTTGATCTTCATTTGGAATGTTTGGTTTTGAAAACAAAAACATCTTTTAATATGTCTTGTGTATTTTACTGCCAACCCTTGTTTTAAAGGTTGCAAATGTTCATAAATGGTTTACCTACTGAAGCTTCAGAACTGATTTAGAAGTTATTTTGCTAAAATAGTGAGTTGTAAAGTAGCTAATTATTGTTTTGAGTATTTGGAAACACATAGCATTTTGGCATTAGAAATCAGAATAATTAAATTATACTCTCAGTTCTGTTGTGAATTTACCACATAAGCTCGATCAAAGCGCTTCACCTTTCTGTCTTGGTTTTCACAGAGTAGCTTGTGTTTGTAGGGGGTAGAAGTTAACAAAGCAAAGTAACTTCGTAAAAGAGAAATAGTGATACAGAACATACAGTGAACTTTGTAATGCCACTTTATATTGAAAAACTTCCTTATAATACTCAATAATAACTACTAAGGCAAGAACTTTACCTTGAATTAATCCATCATTGCATGGTAATGCTTACTTTCAACTATTACCATCTGAAACAAGGAATAGATACATTTAGGACCTTGCCTTTGCCTGTTATATCTTGGTCCTCCTGGGCTTATTACTGAAAATTTTGCCTAATTTTTTTAAAGCTAGAACTGTAGAATAAGCAATCATGTTGTAACTTGAAAAATAAAAATCATATGAGTAAAGACTGTTTGTGAAGATAAAAATCTCAGGACCGAGCTGTTTGGTATTTATGTTACAGATGATCAACCTATACTTTAAAGTTAGAACAAACTGTATTTCACAGTAGAACCGTACATAACCAATGTTAGTGCAGTGGTCTACATTCTTCTTCCATGTGACACATTAAAACATGTAGAATTAAGCAAGGGATAAATTTGACCCCATTTTTCTTGTTTTTGTTGTCATCCAATTTTAATTTTACAGTTTTCCCTGAGCAGAGGAGAGGGGGAAACATTACATTGCCCAAATGAAACACAGTATATGATGTGAGGAATTCCTGCTGCATGTTCTGTGGTAATGAGAGCATATTTATCATTATGGATTCCCCTGCTGCAGGTTGTTTATTCAGCTTGAGCAGCAACCATGTTTTCTATTTGAGTACTAACATACTGTATTGTAAGCAGTTGCACATTTCTCTGGTGACCCATATCTCTGAGCAATTGGAGGACAATTAAAAATGAAGAAAAAGAAGCGGCATTAGAGGAGGTCTAGAGGGCTAGCTTAACCCACCCTACCCTCAAATTTAGTTTGAAATACAACTTCCTCTTGGAGGTCTGTGTCTCTAGCAGGAGTGGGAGGAATTACAAATTTTTTTTCTTACTGGATGTGTTCTAAGTGCTTGGAAGAGTAGAATGGGTTTGTGTGAACATTTATACTCGATGAAAAAACAAGAACATTGTTTCTAATTCCATTGAAATACAGACATTTTAAAAAGCTCTTTTAGAAAAACTTAAGAAACTATTTGGAAGTGTTTTGGTAATATGGCAAGTCTGCACAAAGCATGCTCTACCAGCAGGCCATACCAGCAAAGAGCTGCTGGTAGAGGTGTAGTTTAAGAGCCACCGTTAGCGATTTCTACTGTGGTAGTAGGTAGAACCATCCCCAGCCCCAAATGAGACAAACTTGGCTGATAAAACCACAGATTTGTCTGTATGACTGCACCTCCTGCACCTTATTAGAGGCTGCTGCTATCTCACTTCTTCAGGTTATCGAGCAGCTTAGATATTTTAGGTGATACATAAGGCAGATCTGTAGAGGTGGTAGATGCTTTAACTCTAGACCTTGGGAACTGGGCTATTTTGAAGTTAGGCCTTTGATTTTATTTAATTCAGTTTTGTGTATTGTCAGTTGTTTTCAGAAGCAAAGAACGAAACCGAGGTAACCATAGCCTTTTACCTGGTGAGCTGCCATAAATTGATTTTGGTTTCACATTCTGTCATGTAAATGCATACTTTGGCTCTTGAAGTACTTTTTCAGTATGCTTAGTATGTCCACATAGTACAGGCCTTATAAAAGGATTTGAAATGTCCCTGGTGTCAATATGAAATAAATGGATTTTCTTTGACTAGTAAGTGGGTTTATTTTTCTTTTTTCAGAGTTATAGTTGGAGTCAGGTTTGTAAACCTGCAGTTCTCTTTTGCTTAGTGCTGTATGAATACTGTGGTAGAGGTGAAGGTATTAAGATAATTTTTAATTGGAAAATTCACTTTCTACAAGCTCAAATTTTCTTCAGGAATTTATTTTTCTAACTAGACAAATGAAAACAGAGTAGTTTACCTAGGACCAGTTTAATCCTACTGAAAGTGTGGCAACGTGTTAAACTTTTCTGAAAGTTTTTTTAGCAACAGTTCAACAATATTCTGCATTGCCCAGCAGAGCTGTATTTTTTAGATCTTTCCCCACCAATGCTCTGTTTGGGAAAATGGCATTATACTTTTGGTGGTATAGTATTTCCTTTGACTATATGTCCATTAGAGTGAATGCCTCAAGGTAGCAATAGGCTGGCTGGAAACCCTGTTTTATGGGCGAGAATCAGACATGCATTGGGTTGTGCACACTACTAGAATTATCAAACCAAATATCCAGCTGATTCTAAGTGAATCAGTTCAGCAGATTTATATGGCACGCTTTAATTTGGCAATACTGATGTTTTCCTTTTTAGTATTTGCCATCTCTAACCAGAAAGTTTTTGTCATGTGGGAAATGTTCGTATTTAAGTTTTATAATGATTAGAGAAAAAGACAAATGTTAAAATGCTGGAGTTTCTCATGGAATGTGCAGTATTTGGTCAGATCTCAGCATTTTGAGTTCTCTTTTCTTAGTGTAAAACACGGTTGAGCAAATGAGATCTGTGAAGTGTGTGGGGAATCCCTAGTTGTAATAGGAGAATGAGGGGCATTCATCTTTTGATTCACTGATACTGTCAGTACTTTTGTGACAGAGAGTAGAGCTGAGGTCAGTTTGTGGGTAATCTTGATGTGGCAGCACTTGTGTTATAAACTCTATTTCCTGTAACAGTTTCTATCTCCTGCTGTATTGACTGTGCTTCCCAGCTTTGTATCATCAGCAAAATTTGTCAGCAATCTCTTGCTTTTGTGCTAAGGTTATTAAGGAATATTTTAACTAGACTTCTTTACAGACCAGTTTTAGAGGTGCTTAGTTAGGCAACTGTCTCCTGGTCAGTAATTCTCCTTTTAGCATATCCCATTATTATGGAGAAGAGAGGGTTCTGGGGAGACCTTATAGCAGCCTCCCAGTACCTAAAGGGGGTCTGCAAGGAAGCCAGAGAGGACTTTTTACAAGGACATGTAGAGATAGGACAAGGGGTAATGGCTTTAAACTGCAAGAGGGGAGATTCAGAAGAGATGTAAGGAAGGTCTTCCCTGTGAGGGTGGTGAGACACTGGAACAGGTTGCCCAGAGAGGCTGTGGATGCTCCATCCCTGGAAGTGTTCGAGTTGAGGCTGGATGGGGCTTTGAGCAACCTGGTCCAGTGGAAGGTGTCCCTGCCCATGGCAGGGGCTTTGGAACTAGGTGATCTTTAAGGTCCCTTCCAACCCAAATCATTCTATGGTTTTATGATGATTATCTCCCCTTTCTCCAGTTTCTTATGTATTACATTTTTAACATAATCCCCATCTTGTCCAGTTTAAATAATAATTTCCCATTTGGTGCAGTATCAAGTGTTTTACTGAATCCAGACAGACGCTATCTCCTGCATTTCCTTGTCCACTAATTTAATTATCTTATCAGAGGAAAGTATCAGATTAGTTTGGCATGCTTTTTCTTTGGTAAACCAATGTTATGTTTTATCCCAGTTTCTGTATAGCTCTGTATGTTTAATTATTCTTTCCTGCAAAAATGGTCCTAACCCCTGTATACACTGAGGTCAGACAATGAATGGTTGGTTACCTAAGTAGCTTTTTTTCCCCTTTCTTAAATGCGGATATTTAATTTCTTATTTTTTTATTCAGGTATTATCACTCCAGCAAGATTCAGTTATAAAAAACCTTGCTGCTGTATCTGTACATTCATATGTCCATTCTTTCAGACTTTTAGACTGGACCTTGTTCCTGTCCCCCTCCTTGGCTCTCTTACCAGTGACCAAGATATGTCTTGGGATGAATGTACCTTCATCCTTATTAACTATTATACCATGCTCCCATCTTTCTACTCTAGTGCTCTGAATGTGCATACTGGGCACTGAGACGAAATCTGAAATTAGGCTTAGGGCTGTTCCTTTGTTATTTTTAATTTAAACCTCAGTCTTACTACATTTTTGCACTGCTTTTTTCCTTGTTTTTCTTCTACTCATGCTGGAGAGACTTTTGACGTTTCTAAGTGTAAATCCAGCTTGAATTTTGGCAGTTCTTACTTTCTCCTTCTAACTTAGACTTCAAGATGGTAGCTTTTTTTGCTTGCTATTCCTCTTTTGTATCATCTGTAGTGGTTTTTTTGCATATTGTTGGTATCCTTTTGGATTTGATTATTCACTCAATTAAGCCTGCAGCTTTATCCTACAGTGATGTTTTTTTCAGTGGTTCAAGTTGTAAATTTTAGGCAGTTTTTGTATCTCTGATTTAAATAAATTTAAGCCTTTTCCAGATTCCAGTGCTTCACCTTTTTATTTTGGCTGCTTTAACTCATTATCTCCCTTAATTTCTTAAATATTTAAAAAAATCTTCATATAGATTTAGAAAGGCTTATCACAGTTTCTCTCAACAGATACTCAGTACAGGAGGATCCATAAAATATCTGTTCTGGGATCATCTGCATGTTACAGGCCAAAACACATTTCTCAGTTCATCATACAAAGTGAAGATCTGTTGTAAAATACCAACATCTACTTCTTTAATTTGTATAATTCCTAGCTGATCCTAGAAAGCAGAGCACACTCTGATCTTCTGTCCAAGGCATTAAAATTTCAGTGATCTCTGCGAGACTGACAGTGGGGAGATTCCCACCTGTTTTGCAGTCTTGCAATTGGTTGTTTTTGAGAGTTTGAGCAAGACACAACAGTCACATAAACTTAAAGTCATGTATGCACCTGTCTGTATTTGTTTGTACTTATATGTAATTGAAATCTTTGAGTCAGATTTATTTTACATAAGCAGCCGTCCCATAATCATCTTGAAACTCTGTTAATCCACATATTTTTTTGTTGTTAATTCAGTGACTTTTTGGTGAGGAAATAATTCAAGTATCGCATCTAAGAAGAAGTGAGTCTTGCCAATATTAGAAACATCGCCTCCTACAGTTCCTGGCAGTACTAATCTCTCTAACAGCAGTTGAGAGATTTCTATCCAGATAAAATCCTATCGGTCCTGTTTGTACTCTTATAGACCCTATTTTTATAATTCTTCCCCAGATGATTTTTGACCCTCAGCTGAGGTATCTTCATATGTGTTACTTGTATTTCACTGCAGCATTCACAGCTGCAATATAGGCACCGAAAGCTTTTTCTGTCAAAGAGAGAACCTGCTGTAATGTCTTCCTTCAAGTCTTGCACCAGCTGTCCACCAGAAGTTTCTGGTTCTTCCCATGTTGCCAGGGTTCTTGAATCAGTATACCAACACTGTGAGTGCTTCCCCATGACCTCTCCCATCTCCTGTGTAACTCAAATACAGCCCTTTCACTAACTGTAAACGCTAGTTTCAAGGATCATACTTCCTCTCTGCTAATGATGTTTCAGCACTTTCTTTTTTTTTTTTAATTTTTATGTATAATTTACTATTTCGTCTCTTACAGTTTTATTCTCTGTTTGGATAACAGACAAATCTTTCACAACACTTTTCTCCTCATCTCCTGTTTTAAAACAATTACTGACTATACTAGACATGACTGTAAACATGAGTGACCCATGCTCCAATGATGTCTTTCAGTAGAGAGAAGTCAGTTTTATGTGAATGCCTACCAATGATGAAACATCCCCAAACCTTCCAAAGTTAATCAGTAAGTCTGCTGATCAACGCTATGATGTTATGCCTCCACATTCCTTCCCTTGACAAGCCAAATCCCAAAGAATCACAAAAATTCCACTGAAAGTTCCATGAAACCTTCGTTTGTTTGAGCATTTTCCTCTGCCTGATGTAGTTGTCTGTTAGTCATTTCTGTAGAAATGCAGATTTATGATTTGTCTTGGTATGAGGGACATGCAGTGGATTTTCCCATGCTTCGTCTCCATCCGGGACTTGGAAGTCACATATTCTGTGACAAGAATAAAAAGTATGGTACTGTTGCTGACTCTGTCCTGTGTGCTGAATGAGTTGAAGAGTCCTTTGGGAAAAAATTGCTGTCTGCTACAAAAAACCACTCCATGTCTCTACAGTCATGCTGTGCATAGGTATGCAATCTTTTGAGAAAACATACACATTGATATAAAAAGCCTTTTTTCTATAAACTGCATACAGTCCTCTAGAATTCAACATATGAAAGATCCTGGTACTTGGAAACTGATTTCTACAGCCATAAATTCTTGATCTGCCCATGTATTGCTTCCAGACTCAGCAGAGTAAAAAATGGAGAGGTCCTCTTTTACCTGAAACATTATGGAATAGGGACCTCAGCAGTATTGTTTGAAATATCATATGGACACCAGGCCTTTATTCTAAAGTTATTCCTTCAGTGATTACAGTTGAGTTACAGAAACCTATAAACAGAAATTAAGAAAAAATCAGCTAAGTTGTGTCTTTGATTTTAGTGCAGCACTACCATTCATAGCCCCTGCCTTATGAATAAAGTTATCGTCTAGGATGTTAGTTGCTTTTTCTTCCCCTACTTCCTTTGTTTTGCACATGACTGAAGTTTAATATTTAGGGAAGCATGTACTTAGTTGATTCTAGATTGATTCCTTTACATAACCAGAAATAATTTAAGTAGTAAATATCTTGCTGTTTCTATGGGACCCTATCTGGGGTACATGCAGCAGCATGCAGTACAATAAAAGATTCTTTCAGCAAATGTTTAGGAAAATACTTTCCAAGAGATCTGCACACGATTAGAATTACTGAGTGCTCTCCTCTTCGGCTTCCTGTTTTGGAATTAAATGCCTTCGGGACACTTGGAATATCTCAGTTTTGAAAAGCAAGAGCAATTTAACCAACTAAATACTGCATTGTCTTAACTATGATTTCAGTTAGTTGTAAATAGGGACGAATATATGAAATAGTCCCTGAGATACCTTAATCAAATTGAAGGAATAAATTAACTCCAGTAGCCATAGAGTAACTTTTGAGGGAAATGAGAGCAGATAAAGTGTAGCAACAGTCAAAGTGACATTCTGGCTCTTTCCCTACATGTGTATACAATCTGTGGCTCTTTCCCTACACATGTATACAATCATTAGCTCTTTCCTTACTTCTTGTATCCTGTGTTTCCGATCCTGTGGGATACTGAGCGAATCACTTGCTGATACGGTCAAGGGAGTTGGGGCTGCAAAGCCTGTCATGCTTTGTGTCCTCTGAACACAAAAATTACCTGCGGAGGCTAGTACGGCATAGTGTTGTTCACTGGGGCCCTGGAGTTCCTGGGCTCTGTTCCCTGCTCCAGTGAACATTCAGTGACTCATACAAAGTGGAACAGGAGAGACGTCACCTCAAGTGCTTTGTGGCTTGGTGTTTGAAGTGCTCTTCCGAAGGGAGAGAAATGTGCCTTTGAGTTTTTCCATGCAGAAGGAGGAACTGTGCAAAACGGGTGAATGCAGCATTGAGAGGGAGGAAGCAAACATACCAGCTCTCCTTTTCCTTCCCAAGTTTTCTGCTTCTCCCAAAAAAGAAAAATTTGAACATTTGGGGGGAACAATTTGCTAATTGCTTGAAGTATTTTACATAGCTTATTTATAAAGTTTGAAGGAAAATTTAGATACGCTTGTTGAACAGTTGTATAGAGAACAATCACCTCAGGTCCCTCCATCTTGTACTGAGCAATTCAACTACAAGAAGAGTTCCCTAAAATGAGATGAATTAATATATTTAACAGCTCACCCATTACGTGGATTTTGCATCCATGTAAAATTTCCACAGTAACACTATACGTGAGCTTGGCCAACCATAGCTAAGTAAGTACAGTGTGTACCATTTCTTGATTTTTGTAAACCTTCTACTACAGTGGTGGTGTCTGGTCATTGTATTTATGTAGTATTGTTGACCATTACAGGTGTTTTATACCACATACTGCAGTGGAAATATTTGGGTATTTGTAATTCTGTACTGGGCTTTCTTGTCAAATAAAACAGAGTTTGCATGAAGATGGAGACTGTTAGAAGATTCAATCCAGACAGAAACATCGTAAATAATTCATACAAATTTTCTACTTGGCTTTAAAGAATTGTAAAGCAAATTCCAAATTCTTAGTTTTGGAGTATAGCTGGCTTCAAGGTGCAGTTATATTGAGTTGTACAAAACTCTCGGTGGTGTATTACTATAGCTGAGATAATTTTCTATGTCTGTATTTTCTTCATTTTTCCATAGAAGTCTCCTAACCATATTATTCAGCCATAGGAATATATAGTATAGCTATCTTTACTCTTAGATAATGCTTTAACAGGCAGTTTTTAATTGCAAGAATATATTGCATTGTGTCTTCTCATTTGAATTTTGTGAATTTTAGCTGCATTTTGTCAAACTACAATTACTTTTTTGTAAAGCTTGCTAGCAGTTAAATTTGCATTGAGATCTATTATGTACCGTATTTGTGGAAATTAATAGTATCATGTAATACAGCATGGCAGTTTTCATTTGAGATCACGTTAATAAAAGAAGTCATTCAGTGC